TTGTTGAATTCGCAAGAGCATAAATTGTATAGGAGATTGGTTGGACAATTGTTGTGGCTTGCAGCATTGCGTGTTGACATCATGTATGCTGTTAAGGAGTTGTCACGAGGATTGGTTGCTCCCACTGAGGTGCACAAGATTAAGTTGAAGACATTGTTGAGGTACCTGAGTGGAACCAAGGATTATGTCCATGTTATGAGACCTGATTTCCGGATTGGAAGACAGGTGAAATCATTGGACATAAAGGTCTATGTGGACAGCGATTGGGCAGGTTGCACCGATTCCAGGAGGTCCACATCAGGAGTAGCATTGAACATTCTCGGCATCAACATTTCAGCACACAGCAGAACACAGGCCACCATTGCCTTGTCAAGTGGGGAAGCCGAACTTTATGCTATTGGAAGTGGTGCGGCCGAGGCCCTATTCATTAAATCTTTGATTCTGGAAACCCTTGTGGCTCCCAAGGTGAACATCATTCTGTTTACCGATTCAACTGCAGGCAAGAGCATGGCTGTCAGATTTGGGGCATCCCGGAAAACCAAACATGTCCAATTGCGATTTCTGTTTGTCCAGGAGCTGGTTTCCTCTGGGACCCTGGTGATTAAGAAGATTCCGGGAACCCTCAACCCATCTGACATTTTAACCAAGTATGTTGCCAAGGCAATTTTGCAGAGGCATAACATCACATTAGGGATTTGCCCTTCAGGTAGTAGATAGTCAACATGATTCTGTTTCACTTAGTCAGTAGTCAAGACATTTTGCCACGAGTGAATTCGAAGCCATTTCATGCATGACTGCAACATTTGTTTTGCTCAACATTCTGACTGACATTTCGGTGTGCATTTACTTCGACCGATGCGATGGACAGCCCGCATTCCGGAATTTGACGCGACAGTATTTCCACCGGATTCTCGCAAGAGATTTGAAGATGGAGCGCACGAATTTTTCGGAATACAAGGCATTCATTACGGCCACGATGTTGTGGCAGATTCTATTCAGCGGCCAGCAACAGGAACAATTTGGGTTCCAGGATTTTATTTTCATGAACCGATTCGCGGACGATGCCTGGAGTGCGCAGATTCTGATCAGGATCATTCCAAACATTGCGGCTGGGAGTATGTCCTATACTCCATTTGAGAGGCATTTGTGGCTACAATTCCCACCAAGGGTGGAGAGATTGATTCCATTCAACCCCAAAGAACAGATTGATTCAGTATTTGGCGGACGCACCAGTGGTGATTGGATTCAGGCCACATTCGCAGCGATTTCTTGATTTCATGAGGCATTCATTTACTCACGTATTTGTGAGGTCTCACATTGACCCCATCATTCACTTCAAGGATTACATTTGGGATTCAAGAGACAGCTTGGCGATGCAGGAGATTTGCTCCATGGCCGGATTCAATATCAAGGCCCAGATTGGGGAATTGATGCTCGCTGCCAATTCATTGCAGCAAAGCAATTCCCATTGGTACCGGGATTACCACATGTTCATTCCCAAGACCTGGAAGACTTCATTGGACAAATTCATGGGCGACTACCAGGAGATTCCCAAGTCACTGGTAGATTCATATTACAGAGCGAAGCTGTGATTCAGCATTGGTGGAGCTGGGATTTCGATTCTGGCCAGGCACCGATTTGGATGCATTTATTCCACACTGGATTTGCATTGAGATTCTATGTTCATTGGATATCGCGATTTTGCCTGGTTCGATTTGCCACTTCATTTGTGATTCAGTTTTCGGCATTTGTGTGGAGGTACAGTTACAACATTACTGTAGATGACAGTTTACTTTTGGTTTGGATTCATCTATGACACCAATACATTGAGAGGACGTTTTCTGGTGATTCTGGAGGCGATACTCTTGGAACACATTCTGTCTGTGATTCGAGTCCACAATACATTCAACCACTTGTCCTTGTGCATTTCCCAGCATTGCAATTCTTTTGGTGATGATTAGGTCACCCGTTTTGCATAGACATTTTGCAGAGAGAAAAGATTTCAAGGCAGCTTGGCATTCTTTGGAATGCATTTGTGCTAGTGGAGTGTGGATTAATTCCACATTTTCCATTAATCCAAGGGGGCGTGCGAAAGTACACCATGCATTCCCACTTGGATGTAATTCATACTGATTACCATTGCATGGCTCAAGATGACAAAGGTGCATTTGCTGCCTTGGTTGATTAGCAGAGATTAGTCTCTGATTTTCCCAGGTTGGTTGGTTGGTTGGTTGGTTGGTTGTTGGTCGGTGGGACAAAGGTTTAAAATGGGTTCAGGGTCCGTTTAGGGTAGGTTCAGGCCCGGCATCGTTTTAACATCCTCAGCAGCGTTTTCAACATCCTCAGCATCACCAGGTTTTGGTTTGGGCTTGGTTTAGCGTGGGTTCCAGGTTGGCTCAGGGTCGGCTCTCGATGGGTTCCAAACCTATTGGGAGCAAATTTGGGGGTGGCTGTGCTTGCAGCAGATGGTTTAGTGCTGGTTTATGGTGGGGCTTCTTGGGGTTGGTCTCGGGTAGGTTTAGGGCTGGTTTCGGATGGGTTTAAAATTGGCTGCAGCCATGATGGCTGTGTTTAAGCCCACTTGGGTGGTTTAGGGCTGGTGGCACCTACTGCAAACCACCCAAGTGGCTCAAAGCCATGGCTGCAGCCAATTTTAAACCCGCCCGAAACCAGCCCTAAACCTACCAAAGACCAACCCCAAGAAGCCCCACCATAAACCAGCACTAAAGCATCTGCCGCAAGCACAGCCACCCCCAAATTTGCTCCCAATAGGTTTGGAACCCACGAGAGCCGACCCTGAAGCAACCTGGAACCCACCCTAAACCCAGCCTAAACCAAAACCTGGTGATGCTGAGGATGTTGAATACGATGCTGAGGATGTTAAAACGATGCCGGGCCTGAACCCATCCCAAATCGACTACCCCAAACCTACCCTCAGCCTACCCCAAACCTTTATCCGTTCCTTTCGTGCACGCCAGGCTGTGCCAGGATTAGGCTAATGCAGGGCTATGCAAAAAAAGCACACCTCAGCCGGTGTAGGAAAAAGCTCTGCAGCGCATGCAGAGAGTCTTTCATAGCTTCCGGCCGAGTGAGGTCGCCACGAGAAACGTGCCTGTGCAAAGCGCTTAGTGCTAAAACAAATGAGGATTGGATTTGGACCGCCATTCTCAATGCATCTGGTGCACAAGCACTCAGTTCAGGTTTGTGGTAGTACAAAACAGATCTGATGACGGCCATTCTCAAATTCAACGCATTTCTATGCTTTCAGCAAAAATAGCCTCCTGATTGAATGTTAGGCAGCCTGAACCGTGGGACAAACATGCATTGGAGACGCTGTGAGCATATGTTTCTGCAACAGGACAAGTTGTGATCCGGTCAAGGATCTGTTTCTATCGCCATCAAACTTAAACATGTTCATTTGGGTCACTGCTCTTCGGCTCACCTCGTTCCTTTCCTCCAGTTCCCTGTCCGTGTGGCCCGGATCCGCAGCTTCAAATTTTCAACCCGCTTTTCTGCGGCCTCGTCGAGCTCGGAGACGATGCCTTGCTCGCAGGAGATTCGGCTTGTCCAAGATGTTGTGGAGTCAGCTGGGGAGCTTAGACTCCTGCCCCAAACTTTGATTTCGCTAAACCAATTCCGAGTGATTGCGAGCGTGTTGCATCGTGCCTTGCTGACTTTGCAACTTGACACTTGAGCTTCCGCTTTCCCTCTCTCTCTCTCGCTCGCATGTCACGTGACGCATGCTTGGTGCTTGCAGCCTGGCTAGTGGGCTGCCAGTTTCGAATTTGCAACCAAATGGTGAGCTTGCTTGTGCTGTGCACACTTCATACTGCACCATGTGAGGGTTGTGGAGGAAATTCTGGAAGGCAACACTGTGCTTTTGTAGCGTCTGTCTTAGCGAGACATGTGGCTGGCCAAACAACTCAGGAGAATGGGATGGTCCTTTGCGCACAACAAGCAAGGCTCCAGACTAGCTGACAACATGATATGTGCGGCTGCGCAACGTTGCTTTGGTGGGAGTTGGTTCAGCTTGCCTTGGGTGCTTGTCGGTTGAGGCGCAAGCTGGCTGGAACACTTTCATTCAGATCTCCAGCTCCAGGGACGCGGCAGGCAGCGTTCGGTGTTTGAAGTGTCTGCGGCTGGTGTTGCGGGTGGGTCTTGCCGAGCAAATATGACCATCCCACCCCGAGAGGGTTTTGGGCACGGTTCAAGTGCAAATTGCCGGTGTACGCACAGCCTGCGAGACTCCGTGTTCTGTTTCTTGCCAAGGATACGTTCTTGAGCAGTGGGCTGGCTCTTGTAGATGGACAAGCAAGCAGGAGATGCCCATTTCCCTACAACACGCAGCAAATAATCAGCGTCAGCAAAGGTGTTTGTGTTATCAGATTCGATACGATCTTTGTCGTCATCGCCGCCACCATCGCTGCGGTGGTTGCTTGTGGTCAAGCCAAACGTTCGCTTTATGCGCACAGGTTCCGCTTGTGCCGTCCATTTTTGCCAGGGGAGGCCATATATGCGGCCCTTTTTGATGCTGCGCCAAGCTTGCAGAGCCTCTTCAAGACGCCGAGGCGGGGCCCGAGCTCCGGGGCAGCTTGAACTTGAGGGACTCGTGGTGGGCGTTAGGAGGCTTCAGTTTGGAGGTTGGGGGAATTGGAGGAGTTCGGGCAGCGGGGGTGTTTGGCATGGACCCCTTTGTAAAATCTGCGGTCTGGAAGCAAGCGCTAATCCCGGGTTGTCGCAAACGCGGGTCGTGTCGTTCGACTTGGGCCGACTTGCTGGGTACGACTCAGCGCGCAGAACATTTATCTTTATTTTTTGTGTGTGTTGTTTATGTATGTTCCTTTTGTCCCTTTGCCGATCTTGATAGGGCCATTTGGTGTGCAAGTGGCAGGGTAGCATTGGCCTCACAGGTGTGTTTTGCTGGTGTTCCGCCAGTCTTTGCCAAACGGGGAGCTGGACTGCGAAGGTCTTCGCCCATGCCTTCCCCGTGTAGGTCCGTCATGGCCATGCGCTTCATGAACGGGCTGAGCAGCATCATGAACGCTCTGGGCTCCCCCTCGGCGCTTAAGATCATCGTGGAGACCCTGGGCTTTCAGCATTTGGACCTGGCCCCTCGGTTGATCAGGTGCACACGAGCGCCCAAAACCGTATTGGCCATTGCGGCAGGTTCTACTTGATTCCAACCCTAAAGCACTCTCCTTTGGGTGGGGACAGGATCTGAAAGCCTGAGGGTCAAGCACCAATAGCAGGTCAGGACAAGTGTAGCTTTCCCGCCCTCGCCGACGCGAGGACGTCACGGTGCCACGGGTGGCGATCTTCCGGGATGCCATCGTTGACCTTTTCGACATGGAGCTCGGGCCCAGGAGTGGGCAAAGGGGGGGGCAAAGCGGGCAAAGGGGGCAAAGGGGGCAAGAGGAGTGGGGGTTCCTTGGAACGGAGGCGTGTGGAGCGCGATCTCCAACTTGTGGCCAGATTGCATTAGATTGCCCGGCTTAGATTGTCCAAGGGGTGTGCTCAGATTTCACGGAAATAAGCCTTGGCGCTTGCGTGAGTTTCCCAAAACGGGCTTGACAGATGGGGTTCACAAACGTGAGTCTCGCAGGTTCAACTCGAAAGCACGGGCTGGGCTTTCCGCCATCATGAACTATGTTGGGGGTGCCTTTATCTACATCCGCCCGGGGGCTTGGGCTCAGGGGCACAGGCCCTGAGGCCTAAGGGCTTTCAGCTTTAGAGTGCTTGGGAGGCTTGAGATTGATGGTGTACGAAAGGAAAAGGAATTGTTAATCCTATCTAGGAAAGGGACGAGGTGAACCGTCTCTTCGTTCACAATCTCCTTCCCTTGCTCACGCTCGTCCATATCTTCGCTGCCAAGGGTTGACTCTGGAATACACGGTCAATAATTGGAAAGTGATTGGGTTTGTTCCACCAGGTCAAGATACCAAGAGATAGGAAAGAGACGATTGCAGAACAGTAGAATGCTATCACTCATCCAAGGCTACACGGAGTGGATTCGTTACTTTCATTGCCTAGTCCGCCAGCCTGTTGACTTCACCACTTGCTTTTGTTTGTTGGTACTATGACATTGTGGGCGTCAACTTCCGACTTAGGCAGGGAGTACGCAGGGCGAATACGCATCATCAACTCCAGCTGGAGAACCGCCAACAACAAGGCAGGCTGCTTCAGGGAGCCGTTGAGTCGGGCTTAGCAAGAGGGTCCTGGAGAGGGAAGGGGGGTCATTTGTGCACGTGGTGAGGCAGTCTTCGGTGCACGCGGTCTTCTGTGCACGTGGTTGTCTTGAAGTTTTGTTCAGAATTCATGGTATTTACAGCAAATCGGCCTGGTCATCCGTGCACGTGCTGACCAAACAAAGCTGTTTTGCTTGGGTTCTTCCACACATCAGAAGCCGGAAGTGTGTTCGAGTTGGATTGAAATTGCAAAGGATCGCAGTACGATCGTTATCTTTACAAACGTCGCAGTGATTCAGCTAGATTAGTCGAATGACCTTGACAGGCGTTTTGGGCACCGCATGATTCCACAAGTGAATTAGATCATATTCTTGGACTGACTTCAGGCCTGGCTTCTTCTGTCAATTCACGTTGTGTTCATCAGGGCTGTTTCGATGATCATACGGCTCGGTACCGCAAGCTTTGTGATAGCACTTGTTTTTATTGATACTTTTATTGAAATGAAAGTTTGATACGCACGCTATACAGCAACGTAACGTAGTATTGAACAAAATCTTGAGAAGGGAAATACCCTCAACCGCGGTGTGCGGGCCTGCTGCGCGGCATTACCAGAAGAGGCCGGCTCGTGTGCCGGTTTCCAGAGAAGCCAAATCGATTTCAATCGGGTCAATACCTGTTAGGCAAGAATCGGTCCCCCTGCGGAGCCCTGAAAACCAATCCAACTTGACGAGTGCACGCGAACGTTGAAGCTTACCAACCGGTGAGTTGGCGTGAACGTTGAAGCTTACCAACACCCCCCCCTTCCCCCCACCCCCCCCCCCAATCCACCCACCCGCGTGAGTTGGTTCGCGTGAAGAAGCTACGCCCCCCCGACCCACCCGCGTGCGTTGGCGCGCGTGAACGTCGAAGCTTACCCCCCCCCCCCCGGGTACGTGCGCGGATGACCGGGCACCGTGCGCGGATGACCGGAAAACACGTGCGCAGAGCGCAAAATGTCCCGTTTTCGATCACGTGCGCAGATGACCCCCCTGCCCTGGAGACTGCGCCAGAGTGGGACGTTTTTCAGGAAGACTCGACGAGTGAAGTTTTGACTTGCTGCCACAGCCCGGGCTTGAGTATGAGTACAAGCGCGTTTCATTCAGCTTGGTAGCGGAGCAGCTGGACCATCATCCGGAAACCGTCGATCGAGGCACATAAGCAGAAGTACAGACATTGGACCGAGGATCCCGTGTACTTGGCGGTTATCCGCAAGATCTTCATCTTCGCACCATTGAGGTTGGTCTTCAAGGGACGTCGAATGCTGGACTCTCGCCCTGCAGGCCTATGCGCATAGGCCGCAGCTCAGTCGCAGCTCAGTGCTTCTACCATGGGTTTCCTGGAACCTGCTTTTGGCGGGTGGAAGGCTTCAGGAGACTTGGCTGAAACGGGGGTCGGACGCAGCGCTTCCCTATTTCAAAAAACGCCAAGTCGCTGGCCGCCCGAAACTTTGCTGAACGCTGCTGGGTGGGATGTTCAAGTTGGGCTCACGGAGCGGGCGACAAGGGCCCGGCGCGCCGGGTCCCGCAGTTGAGGCGTGCAGGTTCACAAGCCCCAGCGTAGGGCCCTGCGCGCCGGGTCATGCAGAATTCGGCAGCTTGCAGTTGCGCGTGCAGGTTTCATTGCTTTCGAGACACTCCGTCTAATTGCGCGATTTTACTCAAATTGCGCGCTGCTATGCGCAACCACACATCTCACGATCTGCTCGGCAACGCCCTTGCACTTTGGGGGCCGAACCGTTGGCCTTACAACCAACTGAGACGGAGCGCGCAGAGCGCAAAGTGGCTGGAGCGCATGCCACCTTGGCATCATCAGCATGGAGCGCGGGCCCAAGCCCAGCGAGCGGGAGAAGCATGTAGGGCGGTGTCCCTCTTTCAGGTAGGGGGGATCATTCTCATGAAGTTCCACTCTGCCCGGACAAAGGGTTGCCTCACAATCGTCTGAGTACAACCCTGAGGCACTTTGGCCAAACCCCTGTTGAAATGGCAACCTTCACGAGTTTGTCGCACACAGGTGAGTTTTTTTTGCCGGCGTCTGGCTGTCAGAGTAGTTGGCACTGTTTCGCAAAGGACGGCCACTCTCCCAAAGAAGGAAGAGGTCCACCTAAATCTTGCGGTGGCCAGTCTTGACCTGTGGTGCGTTGGGCAAACTGGTGAATCTGCTGCACACCTTGCACGAGTGGAGATCATGCTGATCATTGCCTTCGGCAAGGAGATTCGGCATGTTTGAAGAGGCTTCATGGGAGCTCTGATGACTCCTGGATCAGCATCGCCCTCTACGATGTCCAGGGTCGTGTCTTCCTCTTCTCCCGGGTCTGCAAATTCTCAGATTCCTCCGGCAGGTTCGCAATGGTGTGTCTCTCTTCCGCCAGCTGCTCCAATGATATCGGACACGTAGCGCTGGTCAGCGCAGCGGCTTCATCGATCTCCCAGTAGTCCTGGTCATTCGGCGCAGAACCAAGGATGGCTGTCAGCCAGCCATCGCGCGTGATATTGATTCTCGGCTGACTGCGGCACGTCTCTTTTTCATAGGATCTCCGGCAGCAGCTTGTTGAGAGCGCAGTAACGCTTTATGTCTCAAGGGTTGGCTTGCTTTCTGCGAAGGGAGGAGGGCCAGCCCCCTACCCTCCGTGGATCCCCATCTTGGAACAGCGGTGGAGCAGCTGCAGGGTCGCAACTCCAAGAGGCAAATGCGTAATCCAGCGGCCTTACAAGCAGATTCCCGAATTTGCATTTTCACCCAATTGCGGAACTGCAGCTTTCAGAAAGGCGCGCTTGCCCGAAACTGCATTTTGTCATTTAGTCTGCTTCCCGCCACTGGCGGCAAGCAGACTAAACGCTCGGATCAAAGGATTGCAGCCAATGTCGTCGGTAAGCAGACTAAATGAAAAGAAGCAGTTTCGCGAAACTGCCTTTTTGCCGAGTTGCAGCTCTGCGAATCATGACGCATCTGATTTGCATTCTTTCTGGCCCCAAGGCTTCGCATGGCAGAAGTGCAAAGAATAAAAAGAGAAGGAGATGATTGGGCAAGAAAAGACAACTAGTGAGAAAGAAGAAGGCGCGCAGTATGTAGGGCGTGCTGCCCCAAGGTGGGAGCGCACAGGGGGCAAGGAGCTGGCCCTCCTCCCTGTTTACCACTTCGCAGAAAGCTAGTCAAACTACTTGAGACATAAGGCGTTTCTGCGCTCTCAACAAGCTGCTGCCGGAGATCCTATGGAAGAGAGATGTGCCGCAGGCGCGTGGGCCACCGCTCAGTCAGCTCAGTGCTTTACCTTGGGTTTTTGCAAGTGTCCTGGAACCTGCTTTTGGCGGGTGAAAAAGAAGGCTTCAGGTCACTTGGCTGAAACGGGGGTCGGACGCGGCGCTTCCGCAATTGTCCTCACGGTTTTTGCATCGCATCAAAGAACGTAAATCACTGGCTGTGAACGCTGCTGTGGGATGTTCAAGTTGGGCTCACGCAGCAGACGGCCCAGGGCTCCGTGCCACGCGTCTAAAAGCTTGCCGGGTCACAAGGGCCCACATAGGGCCTCACCGGGTCGCACAGTCGTGTGTGTGTGTGTGTGCCGCTTCACAAGGCCTGGCGTTGAGCAAAGGACCCGGCGCGCCGGGTCACGGTTGCGGCACGTCAATTGAGTGTGCCGGGTCACAAGGCCCGGCGAGTGGCTCGGCTGTCTGCGTTGCAGGTCACAGGTCCTTGAAAAAATAAAATAACCCCCCCTACGTTGTTTGAAAAATAAAATCCCCCCCACCCCCACGTCCCTTGCGCTAAGGCAGGGGGGATGAGAATGCTATTTGTCAGTCGGGCCGGTTTGCCAGCAATCGGCAGGCGGATGATGAAGGCTTCAAGGAGCGGATTAGAAAGCGACCCATCGCAACTTCAAATTTGCCGACCCATCGCAACTTCATATTTCAGGGGTTCGTGACACATCAATTCCGTTTTTGGAAGCAGAACGCATCTCAGCTTCATGAACTGAATTGCGTGGGACGCATGTTTTGCCAAGAACACACAACCCCACACATAGCACTCCAACAAACTTTCAGCAAACTGTCAACAGTTGTCTAAAAAGGGGGGTTCCGTTCAGAATGACTGCAGTTTGTGCAGAATGTTTCTTTCTACCGCTGATATGCCGGGGGTTTCTTGGTTTCGCGTCGACTCGACAGGAGGAAGAAGTCAAGGCGGAAGGTCAGGAAGAGGGCCAACAACATAGCCAGCCGGAAGCACGTCAGACAGGCGAGCCGGCACTCTTCGCCTGAGGGCAAACTTGCATCGTTTGTGTGTGTGTGATTGAATGTTTGTGTCTGTGTGTGTGCGCGGCCAGACATTCTTTGGGTTTCCTGCCTTGGCAGCCGCTCATCAGACTTGAGGGGTCGAACGGTATTTGTTTGAGTTGGCCCATCGGCACCCTTTGCTACAACTTTTCAGCTTTGTTTGGATCGGCTTGGTGATGTTTTCCAGCATGTATGCAGCATGTGCTCCGTTGATCCTCAACGACCATGGTTTGGTCAGCCTCTTTTGCGAATTCAGTTGCGGATACAGAGCTAGACATCTCTTCTCTCTCTGTCTCTGAACAAGCAGATCGCATAGTGGCACCGCAATGAAGCAGGCAACCACCAAAAACACAAAGCTTCAAGTGTTTGTCCATATGGCAGCACCACGGATCCCCTCGCAGGCTGGTATTTGTCAAAGACCCTTCTCTTTGAAGTCATGCTTTCGGCAGCCATGAGGACTGGGAATGGGACAAAAGCGGGTGCTCCAATTGGCTGACGGTTCCTTCCGAACACAGGGAACCTGCGAGTCATGAGAACGCTTGCGGACAGGGGAGGACATCCACAAGGCCAAATCCGTGGAGAAGCCCCGCAGGGCCCCCGGCGAGTCACATCACAGCCTCCAAACTCGGGCCTGTCGTTTTTGTATTTTTTGCTGGAGCCCCAAAATGGCTGGCTCTTCTTCAGGTTCCCTTTAAAACCACCAAAAAAGGGTGCACCCTGGCACACCCACTTGGAAGTTTCGGAGTTGGTTCAGAGATTGGATGATTGTGGGCGGACCCCCATTCACTTTGCGAAGGTTGCAGGCCCCAACCCATGCAACCTACCCAACCTGAACCCAATCCAACGACAGCCCAGCCCAGCACAACCCGAGCATCCAAGCACCCGGGTGCATGCATCCTGGCATTTGAGCCGTATACCGGGATTCTTTGCGGCAGGTGTATTACGCTTGGCCTGTTGCAGTAGCTGTCCGGACAATGACAGTGGCATGTGGGTGTGTCTCTTTGTGCTTGTGCGTGACTCTAAAAGGTTTGCGGGGGTTTGTGATACCCTTTTCTCCTCTTTTTTGGGTTGGTTGCTCTTCTCCAGTTCAGCTGCTGTGGGGGTCTCCTCTGATGGCGCCCAAACCTCCAGTATAGCGGGCCAAAACTCTTTTTGCCCTGGTCTGCAGCTGGCATTGCTGTTTGCACTGTTCGACTTATGCCCCCCCCTCCCAGAGATGAGCAACATTGAAGTCCGCTTGCTGCGATGCTCATTCTTTCGCCTCTCTTAACATCTCATTGTGTGTGTGTGTGCGTGTGTGGGTGTGTCTCTCTGTGCGTGCGTGCGTGCGTGCGTGCGTGCATGCGTGCGTGCGTGCGTGCGTGCGTGCGTGCGTGCGTGCGTGCGTGCGTGCGTGGGTGGGTGGTGGGTGGGTGGGTGGGTGGGTGTGTGTGTGTGTCATTGCCATTGCTTAGGTGAGACGAGTGGAAAGCATCCCGGCTGCACACCTGCGCTTTTTGGGTGACACATTCAAATTATGCGTGTGCTGGAGCAGCGAGGTTTGCATGTGCATCGCGCAGTCCCGTCCCACACGAAACATAGTGCGTGGCAGAAGGCATGCGGCCCCGCCAAGGATCTCAACGCAGGTCCAGGTGCTGCTTGGCTCAGAGGGGAGCCGGAGCGAACAAGAGCAAGAAAGCAAGAGAGCGCGAGTGTGTCAAAGGAAACCAATAGCTTCGCACCAGGAACGCACAGGTGCCCAGGGAATTCAAGCAATGGATCACAGCCTTGATGCTTGCAGCGAGTCGTCATGCTTCCAAACATTCAACGAGCAACGTGATGCCCCTCCTGCCTCCTTCCTCCCCCACCTTCGCTCCCTTTATTTCTTCCTTTATCGCACCAACTGTCGGGCTGACGCACCATCCCTTCCATTTGTGCTGCTTTTCCACGAGTTGTAGGAAGAAGCAAGTAGTTTTATTCCCAATGTGTTTCGTTTGCAATGCAAGCATGAACACAATAAGTACCTTTGCCAGCGTGCGGGCGACGACGGATTTCTCCTCCTCTCACTGGGGCAAACAACTTACCTCTAAAAGCCTACCAAGCAAACCAGCGAACTCGAACTACATCGCTCCGAATTGTCAGATTTTGTGAACTTTTCTTCCTCGCCTTCTGGGTTGGGCCAAGCGGTGTCCTTTCATGAAGCCCTCGTTGCCATTTACCTCAACGAGAACTTGAACCTTTCTTTGGAAGCTGAAACCTTCGAGGCCTCATGAAGGTTACAAACCCATTTGTGCAAAGCCTGGGTCTCGTTTTCTTCGGGTTGTGGACTCCGAGTCGTCGCCTAGTCGTCGCCTCTTGAGGCCACGGACTTTTAGCGAGATGTTTCTGTTCAACGCGGCGGTCATGGGTTTCGGCAACAGCATGTGGATGCATTTGGTGCTGGAGCAGCGGGGCCCCCCAGCCCGATCCAAGCTCTCCAGGCACTCGAAGAACAGGTCAGGAAGGGAGGAAGGGAGGAAGGGGGCGTGTTTGTGCCGAGGGTGGGACTGCCAGGCTGAGGTTCTATTTGGTACGGAGGCGCTCCCGTGTGCCGATGCGCAAGTCGACGCCATTGCTGCTTTGATGCCGCTGAGGTTTGACAATATGGTGACAAACGTTGCCAACTCCTACAGA